ATTCGTTTTCAGCATATTGCGATGTATTGCAGTTTACATGTGCCCGGTTAAGTGGATTTACAGATTATATTATCTAGTTTTAACTAAACTAACCCTCACAAAATGGACAAGTGGCTTAAAAAGATTCCTGCAAAGAAACCACGGATTGAAGATAATACCAATAATGAGAGCACAAGCGGACAACAAGAAAATGGCAGAGCTAACACTTCTCCTACTCCTAGTACGAGCTCTTGTCAGCCACATTACAAGGTAAAAACAATGACAATTTAATTTCTATTTTTGTGTATGTTTTATAATGTACATAATATATTAGTACAGTAGTACATGTATATAATTTATAAATAAATAAATATACATATATTGGGGGTGCGTGCTCAAAAATTTTTTACTGAAAGGGGTGCGCGATCAAAAAAGTTTGGAGACCACTGACTTAGAACATTGAAAATGGGATGTTTGTGTTTTCCTAACTCCCTTTGCTCTAAAATGCCAGATGTGTGTGTGCATATATGCACTTGTGTGCACACACACTTAAAAAAATGTGTGAAGACTTTTATATATACAGTGGCCTTTCTCTTATGATCTGGATGGATTTGGCATGAATATAGGTGTATGGATGGGCCACACAGATGCATGCACCCACACACATTTTGGGTGGTATTTCAAAATATTGGCCCAGCTGTGTTTGCATTGAAGTGGGTGGGGGTAAACCCCCATTGTCTTTAAAGTGAGAAATGTTAAACTAGTGCAACGTGCCCAGCCTATGTGCAAATAATCAATGCCCATTTTAAAACTTGTACAATGACAAAAGTGCATTCATGTACCTTGTGGTTACCACATTAGGAGATTTCCCTTCCTTTATGAGCACATGTGAAAATTAGTACTTTGAAATTGTTTCTGTTTTTAGTGTATCATGGCATTTCACTGTATCTGCAGCCCAGAGGCAGCTGACCCTTCTTCTGTGACCATTTAAATTAACCACATGTAGTTTAATGTTCAGTAGGAAGTGCAGAAAAGCTTCTCATCACTTTCTCAGTGTCTTGTGACACTTCAGTAGATTTAGTTGTAAATATTTCATAAATGGAAAAACAAAACTTCATAATATGTTGTTCATTTCCTACTAAGTAGTGTGTATGATTTAAGATGGTTAAAAGCTTAGCAAGTGCTAGAGACCGGCTAGGGGCTGCTCTGAATTGTGGCAGGTGATAGCAGCTCCTCTCAGGGATGACGGCCAGGTAGGAATTGCTGGTGTACAGAGTGCCTGGCCACAGCGTCTCTTGGCTCCTTTCTGACTTTGCAGTGTCACTGCTAAGACCATGTATCTGGAGACTGGCATTTTTATGTAAATATTCCAGCAGGGGAAAGCCTAGCCTTTCCTATAGACTGCTTGGACTTTGGTTTTTGTTCAGTTCAGGGAATGTTGCCAAAACAATGCCCAGATACTGCTAACAGGTGGCTTGTATGTCTACCCTCCCACTGCTTGGCTGGAAAGTGATCTCAGCAAATGGATTTTGTTATGGAGGAAAGATTTGGTTCTTTTTTTGTTACTTGCATAAGGAGAAAACAGCAGTTTGTGCAACTGAAATATTTCTGAGAAGCCATCTACTAACGCATTTTTAAGAGGATTTTCCTGTCTACAGAGTTTATATGAGACTAGCTTGCACTTCTCCTCCAAGTAAGAGAAACAAGCAGATACCAACAACGACAGAATAACTCATTCCTTTGCAGCAACCAGTTTGGAAGAGTTGGACTTGGATTTCCTGGAAGCTGGTATTTTGTGAATGCTGCTGCTGTTTGTCACTGATTAATGCTGACATTTTGGTTAGCTCAAACTAACAATAACAGAGTGCCAAGCAGAGACCTCTTTGCAAGAACTACCTAGACAACAAATCTTGAGTGATAAGGCAGCAAGAAAACACCTGCCCCTTAATTCAGTCTGTTTGCATTCTGGTTTTATGGCCAAATCTTGAGAGCTACTGAGCATTTGAAATTCCCATGGAAATCAATATGAGTTGCATGTTCTGGACAGCTTCCAGGATCAAGTTTTCCTACATATTCAAATTATTTTTCAGGACTTTAGTCCTCTATAAGTTTGTCGTATGTGTTTGTTGTCTCTTGCTGCCTCGCTCTCAGATCCTCAGTATGTTTTCAACAGTGTTATGAATGAAACTGAGCCTTCCCCTTTAGAGCTTCTGCCCACTAGGACAAATTTTCATTTCTATCTCATCCTGTCTCTTGTTTGTGCCTCTTAAACTAATTTTCATTATTTAAGCCTGCACTCCTAACTCTTTAAATCAGGGATGGGCAATTATTTTGGGCCGTGGGCTGCTTACTGAGTTTCGGCAAGCCATCGAGGGCTGCATGCCAGGCAGCCCAGGGCAGATTAATATTAATTTTCTAAATTTTTTAGGAGCCCTGCAGGCCAGATAGAATGGCCTGGTGGGCCACATCCAGCCCCCGGGTCACATTTTCATAGTTTCATAGTTGGTAGGGTCGGAAGGGACCTCAGAAGATCATTTTGCCCACCCCTGCTTTAAATGGACCCAGTGAGCACATCTACATGAGACGTTTACTGCTGACTAATTAGCTCCACAGTAAATATCACTGTCTGCATGTGAGGTACTGTTATAATGGAGTAAACTAATTAACTCTGCTGTAGATTAGTACTGCCAGACACACGCACTGTCCTATGGTGGAGTTATTTACTCCGCCACAAGTAACATGTAGACACTGACCCAGCTGGCTTGCTCATGAGGGTGCTTCAGTGCAGGCAGTGCCTGCGGGCTAGCTCCACACTGAAGCACCCTCATGCTCTAGCCAGCCCCTCCATAGCACACTGAGCTGGGTTGGAGCAGCCCCGGACTGGCAGGCTGACTCTCCAGGCTGGCAGGCTGGCCTGTGTCCCCTGCCAATTGGGGCTGCTCCAGCCCAGCTCAATGTGCTGCGGTCCTGGGGACACATGTAAACACTGCACCCAAGAACAACTAACTCCAGCCCAAACTGCATCAGAGTTTATTCAGCTGCATTAATTTTACATGTAGATGCACCCAGCGTGCATGAAAAGCACTGGACAAAACAAAGCTACAGTATTGCATTGTAAAGCATGCATCAGGGCCTTATTTAACTAAGCAGTGAATCTTCAAGAAACAGGGGCTCACTGCCTGTTTAAAGCAGAAGGCTGAATGGCTTAGAACAGTGGTTCTCAACCTTTTTTCTACTGGGACCTATTTGCAAAGATCCATGGCCTGTCGTGATCCACACCTTGCTGGCCCTGCCAGTGCCCAACCCCCAGTTCCCCATCTCCTCAGGCCATGCTGGTATCCCTCACTCCCAGCCTGCAGCCTCTGCCTCCACCAGCCCTGCCAGAGGGGTCCCCAGCTGTCCCCATCGCGTTTGAGCTGGAGCACAGTGGCTGTGGTGGCTCCTGCTCTTGCTGGTGGCAGTGAAGCAAATCTGGCCCCAGCACGGGCTGGAGGGAGGAGGGAGAGGCCTGTAGCACTCCCCCTGTGCTGGGCTGGGCCTGCCGTGTTGCGCCCCCCCCAGCAACATCTCCCAGCCCGCCACCCTGCGAACCCAGCCACGCAGCTTCACCTGTTCTCTTCCTCTGCTGGAAGGGCCAGGCGTGTCCCCACCACCCCTCTGCCCTGCTGCAGCTCTCAGCCTTTTGAAATATTCTTGCGACCCGCTTTTGGGTTGTGACCTATGTGTTGAGAAACACTGGCCTAGAAAACAAGCCTGAGTCTAGAGCACCAGCAAGCATATGCTTGATGGATATTGTTTATCGTTGATCCCAAAACAAGCATCAAAATGCAATCAGCATCGAGTCTTTGCGGCTTGTGTTTCAATGAGTTAATGCCATTAGAAGTGGGCATTTAAACAACCCCCGTAGAAGACTGCCACAGTAGTGCTGGCCTTTGTGAGACGCAGGGTCCCAACACGCCCTGCATGCTTACCAATCTCTACAGAGATTCTCAGAGATACGCAGTTAAGGTTTTAAGCTAAGGAATGGGAGTGTAGTAATACAGCCCTTTCTTCTCCTGACATGGTTTTGCATGAGGTTAAATGGCCTTTCTAGTGTTTTTTTATGCACTTAGGGTTTACATTCAGAGTCTGTCTGCTGCCCTCTGGCTATCTGAGAACAAGCATCTGCTGCTCACATAAAGCCCCCTCTCGTGGCCTTTCACTTGTTCAAAGAGGGCAGAGTATAATTAATAAGCACTGGAAGTTTAATAGGCAAGTGAGGCAGTGAAATTCTGAGATCTATGCAGGGTCAGCCAGAAATATAGGAGTTAAAGGAGGGGAGACCCAGGGCAACAATCTGCTAGTTCTCAAATTGATTAGCAGGGTCTGTTTGTGTTTGGGATGTTAGTGGTACTTGGCAGAGAATGACGCTGGGCTGCACATCTTAGAGGGTTGGTGCTAGTTGGGAAACAAGGAGGGAAAACTGTCCAGTCAATAGTTACAGACCTGAAGGGCAGACGGAGAGAACAGCATGTCTTAACATCAGCACAGCTTAGCACAGCCGATGGCCCGGGAGAACTCCCTTTGAGTGCAGCAAGGTAACTGCAGCCCTTTGCACCCTCCCCTGGCACCCACTGCATAGGATGCTGGTTTCGGTACCTGCCCAGTGAAGAGCAGACTTGCTTGAGCAATGAAAGTGCACTGCTGCTGTGGTTTTCAGAGACGTTTCACTTGAGATGGGGCTGTGCTGCTGCAAGGACTGGAAGGGCTGCTCTCAGGAACCCAAAGGTAACTTTGCTTTTCAAAGGTTGTACAGGAAGCTTGCTAGCAGAGTTAAGACCGGTCCCCCTCCTCCCCCTCCCACTCCACCACTCGCCCTTTGGCAGCTATTTTGTACAGAATAATTGCTTCTGGAATAGTATTACCTTGCTGCTTCACTAACCCCCACTGTCCTTGCAAAGACTCTTCTCTGTGAAGTTCGGTTTTAATGTCTTGATGTCCACTTCAGTCGGGACGGAGTCATTCCTTTTGTTTTTCCTTTTTACCATAACTCCGAGCTGCATGAGCAATGTTATTTGGCTGCTGTGCTGAACCCTTTCTAAGTGCCAGCTTCTGAACTGGAACAAGCAATTGGGAGATGCTGGCTGAAGGTGGGAGGAGGCAGTTGTTACTTTCATTTTCTATGATCTCAAGGGTCAATTGGCATTAATGTATGACATGAATTTCACAGCTTCTGAGTCCAGGATGCAATCCATGTTCTGCATATTTGCTTATGGGTCAAAATTGAGGATTAAAGTTTGGAGTCTTCATATTATTCCTAGTCCAGTCCTACCTACCATAGCCCAGTTTGAATGTGACATAGGTTTCAGCAGCACAAGGTGTGGAGAACTGAGCTGATTTTCTGTATTTTCTGATCACCTCAAATCCCTTGCAAAGTGCAGTTATATCTAATTGGTGCATGAAACAGCAGTAGTATTACATCTCTGTTGGTGTGAATTGCATTTAGAATGCAACTTAATTTTTCTTCTTTTTCCCAACTGCAAAGTGAATCCTGACAAATAAACTGTGAACTACACCCTAAAGGGTCACATCCAATGAACTGCATTTCCCATTTCTTTCCATTTATGTCCTGTAAGACTTACATTTCGTGAAGATTCAGACTTCTAAGGGCTTCACGTGGCAGCTATGGTCTCCTCCAAGCAAAAGTCCTAAATGGTCTCAAATCCTGTATCCCCCTAAGGATCATAAGTGCTTTCTGAATGCTCGTCTGTCCATCAGGACTGGAACTAGATATTCTTTTAGCAAAGATAGAAGGCGATGGCTGTTTAAATTTATCTGTGCCTTTTTGGACTACTTACAAACAGGGACACTGACAGCAATTTTATAGCTGTATTTATATACTGAAAAGAGCAGTGAGATTTGGCATCTAAACAGTTAATATAGCTATTGAGATTTCTTTTCATTGACTGTTTTAGATTGAAAAATGTCTTTCTGACAAGAAAGAAAACTTCACAAGAAAACTATCTTTTTAATGAAGATTTTGGAGATTTGTTGAAAAAAATAATAATGTGGGTAGAATTCATAAGAAAGCCCAAAATATTTTAGCTTTTTGATAGTTGAAATGACATTTTTTATTTCTGAGCCACCAAATATCAAAATGTTGGTGGTTCATATTAGAAATCAAAAAGTGTTCCCTTTCTTTAAAAGTGTTCACAGTAAATGAAGTACTCATTTACTTTTCAGCTTTATCCTTCCAAGTCATCATTTTAGCTGTTGTAGGTTGCTAAAAGGCTTTTGTTTTATTTTCTCTTTTCATTCTTAAAGTAAAATAGAAATATTAGTATAGAAATGTTTGGCTTCTATATATATATCGCACCACAGTATCACTCCAGTGAGTTGTATATTAGTGTATGGAAGTTACTTTAAATTAAATAAATGGTATTATATGAAAAACAAAGCTAAATGAAGCACCAGTATCATGAGGTGATGTCTATCAAATCAGGTACTGCATAAAGTGGATTTGCACTGCAATAATTAGAACCAGGTGAATAACAATTTATCTGCCTCCAACCTCTCATATGGGAGCTCAGAGTCAAGGAGTGTCACATCAGAATGATCATAAACCTTGTTAAAATTAACTCAGAAGCACTGGACACAATTAACTCAATTTTAGGAGTGACTGACCCTTCTGGAGGGTACCCAAATCAGGCCTAGGATGAGACCTCTTACATTTTTTTCTGGAGATGGGCCCAATCCAAAATGCCAGCTCCATGCAACCCTGAGCTCTGTATCTTAATTAAGGGAAGGTTTGAACCCAGGGGCCAAAATCTTTGACCCTAGTTATGCCAGTGTGAATCCAGAGTCACTCCATTGACTTTGGTTAAGTTACTCAACTTTAATGCTGGGGTGATACCAGAATTCTGGCTCTGGGTCTCCAAAAGGCCCCCATGGCCCACCATGCCACTCCCTTTCTGAGTTTTCCACCTTCTTTTAATATAGTGGTAGCCATTGATCCTCCTGGATCATGGTGTATGCATGAAGGCTACACCAGACCTTTGTTGCATATGCCTGGGCAGGAATATTTTTGGAGGAGTGAAGGCTGCCCAGACCTGCCATTTTCTCGTTAAGCCACTGAGACAGAATCCAAAGACCAGATGTTGGGTGCCTCCATGGCTGTAATTGTATAAGTGCCTGGGAATTGAACCCAGGTCTGCTGCCTGGTAAACAAAGAGTCTTCCACTGGACCACAGGGTACTCCTTTTTTTTAAAAAGAGAGAGCATTTTAGCTGACACATTTCTTTGAGGCTCTGACATATCAAGGGCGGGTGTCAGAGCACCATTAAGCCTGCCACACGTTTCTGCCAAATGGAGATGAAAGTCCAGCATTAAGTTGTGCTTTATATATATAGAGTCACCTAACCAATCAGAGTTCTCAAAGTGAGTATACAGTACTCTCACAAATTCAGGGATTTCTTTCAAGTCTAGCCCACTGAAGGCCCTGCCACAGGTTAGCTTTTATTTTGAAAATATCCTTGGTTGTACCTTCTTCACGATCTAAACCTTTCCCACTTTAACAATTCTTTTAGACTGTGTCAAGGGCACCATCAATTCCAGTTTGCTGCCCGATATTGATTGTGGACAAACGAGATTTTTACAAAACTGAAGACTGACATATGCTTTGCTACTGTGTCAACCCACCCTAAGAAGAGCTGCATGGCCTGGATAGGTTCCATCTCTGTCTGCACTGGGGAGAGGCTTGACTTACAGTGCTGTGATCCAGATTTTGAATCTAGGTATTTGAAGATGGATTGTCTCTCAGCATTTTGGTGTAACCATTTAGGAATCTTAAGTAATCTTTAGGATTTCAGATCTCTCCACAACATGGGGGTGCTGGCAGCTGGGTTTATATAATACACACAGGTGTATCTATATGAGATGTTTACTGCAGTTGCCTAAGTAGCTCTAGAGAAAACATCTCGGCATCTACACATGCAGCCCTATTAGTCTGCAGAAAACTAATACACTGCAGGAAGGCAGTACTTGTATTTCCAAGTACTACCCTGTTGCGTTGTTTTTCTTGTCCACAGCACAAGTTTTTTTCATGCACAGCAATGAATGTGTAGAGGCTGACCCAGATGGTTGGGGCATGAGGGTGCTTCAGTGCAGGGGCTGCCTGTGAGCTAGCCCTGCACTAAAGCACCCTCATGCCCCAGTCACCCCTCTGCAGCATGCTGAGCTGGGTCAGAGCATTCCCTGGCTGGCAGGCTGCCCCTACCCAGTCCCCCTGCCAGCCAAGGCTGCTCTGACCCTGTTCAACATGCTGCAGCCCCAGGGAGCAATAAATTTCAGCATTATACGTCCCAGAGTATATTGCTTTGAATTAACTGCACATGTAGATGCGCCCACAAAAAAACTGGTTCTCATCTTCCATGCTGCTTTTACACCATTGTATCTCTTTGGCCTCAAGGGAGGTTCTCTTTGTTGCTGCTGCTGTGGCAGCTCAATCTGTCAGGAAGTCTTTCTGTTGTTGGCAAATGCCTTCAGAGCTTGCTTTGTGCTACTGCTCCTTTGGCCTTTTGCCCATGTACTTCAACAGATACAGTTCATTGGTGAGCTATGAGAATCTTTGGGGTAGATGTAGGTGGGTGGGTATGGCTTGGAGTCAGGGAGCTAATGGTTGGGCTTCTGCTTCATCCTACCAGCTTTTGCCTTGGCAAAAAGGATATCTGGGCCTGACATGTCAGGCACAGACAGGATTGGCCTGAGAGTAGATTACTATTCTTGGGGAGCAATTTTATGCAGAACAAACCATATGATTATCTATGGTCTCCAGGATACTGGAATAGCAAGAGACCAGTATGGAAATTTTCTTTGTCCTAAAATGGTTGTGAACAAACTTATTGTGCTTGCCTTGCATATCAGAAGGGAGAAGAGACCTAAAAGCGCTCTTGGTTGAATGGGAACCTCTTCAATGGAAAAGCTGTAAAGTAGAAATAAGTAACAAACATCATTTTCGGCAGTGGTTATATGATTGGCTTTGTCCTGCTGGGCAGAGGCACTGAAACATCCCCGTAGCCTATCCAGTACCAGGATGTGGGTTTGGACAGTTTGGCCGCTGTTGTCAATAAAAATGATGGTAAGCCTTTGTTTTTCACAGGAATTTGAGTGAAAAACTGCTGTTTACCCTTTCAGTAATACTGCCGATTTGTAGTCCATCACTGATTTCCTTCAGCCAGCCATTCTCCGAGGTTTATTCATTTTATTTAATCACACTCATTCCATTTTCTCTGGATTTTTAGCAGCTGCTGTTCACTTATGATGGTTATAGAAACGTGTGTATGTTACAGGGTGTTGCAAATATTTTCTTGTAAGTGACTTTCCAGTGGAGTAATATAATGATGGACATCAGCAAATATTCCCTTTGCCACCATTAAATTAGCCATCAGTTTGCCCCTCATTAACCTCGCTAGGAGATCTGCAGTGCTTTCACTGTCATAGAAACAAGCCCAGGTGAATTGACAAGTATGAGTTCCAAGCCCTGGCAGTCATGAGGGAGACCTTCCAGGTTTGCAGACAGCTGTCATATGACCATTGGGCTTTAACAAGGATTACAGTGGGTGTTGCTGATATTCAGAATTTCTCTGCACCGTGTGTTTAAGAAGGTGCAAAGTCCTGAGAGGGACTGGAAAGAGAAGCACAAGAGAAGACTGGGAAGAGTAGCACAATGGGACTGGGGTTTATTTGAAGAACTAAAGATAACGGGGGTTTCCAAAGAGAAGCTGTAATCT